TATATTCAGTTTCTGCCAATAGATAATAACCTAAATAATAACAAATATAATAACAAACTGGACCTATTAAGGACTGACTGACTGCCTCTAAAAACACTTGTCTAACAATCGTTTCTAAAGTCAGCACAGTTTCTGACAACTCCAGAATCTTGCAATGATACTGCAGGATTAAGAACATTGTAAATCCCGGGCTATGCTTAGTTTTCATTAGGATGCGCCGGAGACAGACAGTGCTCTGCAGTGCTTAAAAACAAAAGATGGATAATTGGGGCTTCCTGTTTGCAGTTAAGGAAGAATCAAATTAGTTTGATTTAATACAAATCAGCTCAATTTAGTTTACTATGTTCCTTTTATCTTCTTTATATTTTCTTAAAATAATGGTTAGTTATTACAATGATTACTTTGCAAAGAATAAGACACAATAACAACAACTGTATGTAATTATGCCATCATCCATCACTTCTGCACCCCACAGAGAAACACATATATACCTGTTTATTATACCTTATACAAGCATAGTATAAACAATGTAGAAAAGAATAGTAAATGGCAAGAAAAAAGAGAAGAAAATACCCTCCTCTTTCCTCTCCACATTCATAAAACTATGGAATCTCAAATATATGACGTCAATTTATACCCCAAATTTTAATTTGTTATTTCTTATCTGAAATTAGTTCAAATAATTCAATTAGGAACTTTACTTGCTTCAGAAACTTAATTTACTTCATCTCTATTCCGTAGGATTATTCTCCAAACTGCGTTGATGGCACTAAACTAAATTGTAAATGAGACCTTTAAACTGTAGAAGTAAATAAATCAAAGTGCTGTTGAAGTTCTACTTGTATTGACTTCATAATAATAATAATAATAAATGAATATTAATTTCATAACACTTTCCCTGCATTATTTATTTACTACACAGCAGTTGATTACAGTAGTTTTGCCCGATGCTGCTAGTCGTGGCACACAACAGCCACCTCTGCCCAGCAACCTCCCGCCCACACAGACCCCACACCACCCGCCGTCCGTCCGACCCACTTATCCGTAATCATCCATAATCACGGCTACGTTATCCAGGCTTAAGCGCTTGCACGTTCACAAGGGGAGATTAGGAAGGAGAGATATTCCAAGTTGTGTCCCTTGTACTGAGCTCGCACACACAGACAACACATGCAAGCACACACACACATTTACTCCCATCACTGTGCTTTGAAGTGATGATATGTCCAGGGGTTTAAAGTCCCCCCTAATAGATGGATTTTCAGGAATAGGGGCATTAACCCCTTCTGTGTTTCTCTGTCCGGCTCTCACGATGCCTCTTAAAGTATTTTCAGTGTGAGTCATTTAAGTCTGTTTAAAATCTGTCTGAGACAGAAGAAGACAAGGATCATGTCAAAGAAATTAAGTAGATATATTAGAATTGAATGATAGATGGTTGGAACAAAAAATTGTTTTGACATTTTGTGAATTACACTTATCCGCTTCCAAGAGTTAGATGAGAATATTCTTGACACTCATGTTCATATGGTAGGTTTAAAGCTGCAGCCAGCAGCTGGTTAGCTTAGCTAGCATAAAACTGGAAACGTGGGGAAACAGCTAGTTTGGCTCTGTCGCATAATTTATCAGAATCAGAATCAGAATTTTGTTTTTTGCCCAGTAGGTTTTTACGCCTACGAGGATGTGACGCTGGTGCAGTTGGTGCATAAAAATATACACATATAACAAATACAAATATACAAATATACAATTATTTGTATATTTGTATTTGAATCTCTCTGCTTTTCTTGCCATATGCCCTGCATAGCCTTCAGGTGCTGGGTTTGGCCAGGCGCCCATGCTCATCAGGTGACATACAGGAAGCCTATATACATAGGGTATAACCACTGTATAACCACTCCCCCTCCCCTCCCCCTCCTCACCACACACCTACACAGGACTGCTCCACTAGGAACTTATTTACGTTTTTATCTTATTTGTATTATATAAAAAAGTTTCTTTTACATAGGAAACTACACTGTGCAATATATATTATATATATTATCTTACAGGTCTTTTATATAAAAGTTTTTTTCCTCTTTTCTTTTTTATATCTGCATATTTTATTTTGTACATACTGCCTCCCATTTATTCCTGCTGTGCTATGTGCCATTGTAACGAAATTTCATTTTGATGCAAATCCAAATGACAAATAAAGTCTGTCTATGTCTATGTCTATGTCTATGTCTATGTCTATGTCTAAGTCTAAGTCTAAGTCTAGTATGAATAGCACCAACTTTAGGCAGAAGGTAGTGTTGGATGAATGGGTTAAACACAGGATCTATACCTGGGAGGTTTGGGTTCAACTCCTTGTGAGACAATATTTTAGACTGAGTTGACTTATAATTTCTTTGAAATCATCTTCAGTTTTCAGTCACACTTTGGGTAGGTTTAGGACAATAATTTGACTTGGGTTAAAATGGAAGCTTTCACAATGTTAACCACATGTTCTGCCAGAACCTCTCATATGGGGCAAATATACCTGAAAGCATGCAAAATGAGCTTTTTCCTATTAAAATGTCTGCTTAATTTCTTTGATATCCTCGTCTTCTTTGTTCCACACTGAATCCTATTCATTTGTAATGGAAGGGTAATGTTGATAATTGCTAGGTTGGTTTAGTAACATCTCATACTGTACATCGCACCCAGCACCACCTTTGTTGTGGTTTGATGAAAATTATTCAATTTTCTGCTTGCCAGGTCTTTTTGTGAGATTGTCAGTGAAATGACTCAGCAAAAGTTTCTCTTTGTGGAGCTTCAACGCAATATTGCTGACCCTCTTTGAACAGCTGTACAAAGGTCGGTAGAATCTCACCTTCTGATGTGGGAAACATAGGAAACAGATTTTCTAATTGAATTCAGCTTGATTTGCAAGTCTACTGCCTGGAGCATTAACTGCAGAATACTTGTGTTGTTGTTGTGTTTTTTGGGATTTTATAATATCTGTGGTCCGTACTTTAATCTTTAACCACACAGTCTAAAGCTTATGGATGCACACAAGCAAAAAAGAAAAAAAGGAGAAAAGTGTGTTTTGCCTTTTTTTTTCATGCACCTTTTCATTAGTGCCTCAGAGTGCCTCACATAACCTTGTAACGACCTCTTGCTTTTCATTTATGGTGCTTATTCTACTCATTGTACTTATTTCCTGCACAGTGATCAGTCCTTGAGTTCCTTTTTTAAAGAGATGGAATATATTTATATCTTTATATGGGTGTATACAATATGTTTGCATGTGTCTTTGAGGCTTTTATTTTATTTTATTTGTGACTATTTCAAATGTGAGTTTCAGCTATGCACTGTAGAGGTTCATTGTTTTGCTTTATGCAAAGTTTTGCTCCACTTCAAAGTGCCACAGCTCCATTCACATTCTGCTATATTTTCTCTTTGATCTGTTCCTTCTGGCAGGTATGCATACACACTCTCTCCAGCATCAAATAACATCACATGCCATTTCTTTGACAATCCTTTGACCAGAATAGTTGGCTCAAGTCTCTGCCAGCTCACTTAATCTTCCCTCCACACTCTCACCTTATTCTTCCATCTGCTGATGGAAATGAGACCTCTTGTGTATTGCGTTCACTTTCGGTTAAAACTCAAACTTGTTTTTCACAAATTTCAGAGGTAATTTCTATCTTTTTTATGTTCATAGGCAGTGTCTCGGAGGAACACAGGAGTACACAGCTCATCTGTGCTCTTTTCAAGTTGACGCATCTTTGTCTCTTGACAGCAGACAGTGTTTTATAAAGAGTCAAATATGACAGTTTCCAGAGGTTTAATAACAAATATGGACAAACAGGGCAACATTAGACTTCAGTTGGATGTCTAACTGATTGAAATGACACCTGCCTGTCTATTTGTCTATACTTATTTCACTGCTAACTAATTCAATATTCCCTAATATTACGGTACACTAATTTAACTTCAGATATTGAGCTAACAATATCCTCACCAGTATTACCCTCCAAATGAACACCACAACTTGAACTTATTTAGTGGTGATTATGATCAGAGAAGTGCTATTTGATGTTTCATTACTCTACACAATTGTTGATTGTAAGTTTGACTTTTTAATTTTCCTGTAATAGATAGTACAATCATGGCTATACTGGGCACATAAATCTGTCAGCAACCTTTACTATGAAAAAAATCTGTCTGTAGTCGCAACACATATTTGAGCCTTATAATGTTATTTTCTGCCTGTAGAACAAGCCAGTGCTGGTAAGCCAGCATAATGGTGGTGAAAGCAAACAAATCTGTTCATGCATTATTCAATTCTCTGTTCTCTTTTTGGACTTGAAGTCCATAGCTAGCCTCACTAAAGATACACTCAAGACTAGTAGCCACCACTATTGATGTTTGGCAAAATGTTGAGGAAAACGTGCCAGATCAGGATGCTTTTAGTCAAAGCCACAGGGAGCCACTGGAGAGGGGCTGCAGGTTTCCTACCCCTGCACTAAACCTTTATTAGGAATGTCCAACCCAAAACATATAATATATAATATATTTTTTCGCATTAAAGCCACCCTTGCTAAACCTAATATGGTCACAGCCTTTGTCACTACAGCCTGGTCTGGTATGACCAGTAGTTTATAATGTTAACAAACTATAGATAGATTTTGCAGTGTACCTGACATTACTGAGTGAGTTTACTGACCTAACCCTCATCCTACCAACATAAACATATTTTAGGAAAGTTATAGTTGTATATGGCCAGCTGTTCAGCAAAGGTACCTTGGATTTCTTTAACCATATTTTGTTTTATTTATTTCTATTGTGTCTCTAAACAGGGGTCTTCTGGAAGTTTTACAACTGGACTTTGTGCCAAAAGATGTTTTGGAGCAGACTGAGAGTCAGACGATTTCCTGGCGCCTGGAGTTGCCGGGGAACATCAAGGATGTCGGCACAATGCGGATCTACACAACTCAGAGAGACTATGTGGGGCTTGCACCTCTGGTCATGGTGAGGAAAATGTCCCTATTCATATCTGTACTGTTTGAAATGCGGACTTAATTTTAAATTATTCTGCTTCTTACATAAATATTACAGATAAAAACACTGTACTCCCTGTATGGTGCACGTTAAATGACCTATTGTATCTGTTGTAGTTTTATTATTCCTGACTTATACCAATTATTTAGTGTTTACTTCATGTCAAATTAGTATGTCATGCACAGCAAAATTTCAATGTTTCAAATCACCTCTGCCTGTGATTACACTACTATCTGTGATGCATTCATATTATTTTTTATGCTTAGACCGACTCCCTGCTGCTTTGTGGACTCAAAAACCTGCACATTATGAGACAACAGCCAGAAATTCTATGGTAGATACTTATCTGTCTCTGAGAGTAGATTGAGTAGAATATTTCATGGTACAATTGTCAACATGAGTCAAACTAACATTAGGGAGCAAATATGTTTTATCTCATTCACAGGATTCACATGAGGAACTTATTTCATAAGATGGCTGTAAAACGTGTTGTTTTATACTCCTAGCAGAAAAAAAATACTGTTACAACCACATGTGAACCATCACACCATTACAAATGTAAATAAATGAAAGCTGCATGAGAAAATGTAAATTTAATACAATCAGCAAACAAGGCTGCATGTTTGATTTTCTGACCTTTCTACATGGTGTTTGCATATCTTTCCCATGATGATGAAGTCATCTCCCTTACATATAACCCTAAAAAAACTTTAGCACTTCTACTTATTGAAGGAACTAGTAAATAAATGATTGGATGATCAAACAACACCAAGTCTTACAACAGAGTGTAAATATAACACTGTTTTCAGAAAAGAATCAGATTTAAAATATAGCTGAACTACTTTAGCCGAACTTGATCACTGCAAGCCAGATTATTGCAGAGCTTGTGGAAACATTGGACGTCAGGATCTCTCAGCGTGGCACTGCCGGCACCACAGAGCGCTGATATTGCTTTCTGATTTTGTGCTCCCCCTGATCCAGTGGCTTATGTTTGGGTCAGTGTTGCAGTCTGAACTAGAACATGTCCTTTTGGAATTGCGGTCAGCAGCTGTCAAGCCGACAGAGTTCAGAATGCGAGGCTGCCGCGGAACATCTGCCGAGTGTTGACTGATGCTTTAGTCTGCAAGCATCCAGAGGAAAAAAAACAAAACACTGATCACCCAGAGCTTCTTACACACACACACTGCCATTACCTATAATAGATTAAAGATATGTTATCAGAGATCTTATGAACTGGAAAGTAGTTGTAAATCCATGTTGAAGAAGCAGTTCAAGTGTAAAAATAAAGCTACATCAGGCTTGATGACAACTTGTGGGATGTATGAGAGCTAAGCTGCCGCTAAGCATTGGCAAAGATTGAACAGGGCAAGGTGGGAAAATGGGTTGGAAGATTAGAAATGTAATCAGGTTTAGGTGTTTGAGTGGTGATCTACTGTATGGATAACACAGTACAGTAGAGGATTTATTTTCATCCAGGTGTACGAGTTTGTTAGAGACCGACATGTACTATATATTATCAGCACAGAGATGCTTTATGTCTTTGAGCACATCTGTCCAGTTTGTGTGTGGGTGTTGCATCACTGTGATTTTAAATGAATCAAGTTTGTGAGCCTGCAAGTGTTTTAATCCCTGTTAGTCTTGCTAACACCCTCTGCCTGTCGTCCCTGTCCTCATACAAATAGTGATGATTGTGTTGTATAATGTATTAGTCCAGCAGGATATTCAAAAACAGTTTCTCATGCAGTGTGTCCAAATCCTGATTTCTATGTAGTTTCACAAGCTAGTAGAGTTTTTTTTAGATTTTTTTTGGAGGGGGGTTTAGAGAAATTATGCTATGTTTTGTACATACCCAGAGTAAACTTGATAATGGTGGATTTTTAAAAAATCTGTATGTAGTTTGAAGTTATATTGAACATGCTAATTAGTAAAATTATTATTTCTGCTGCTTTGGCAGCTGGGGTATAAAGTTTGATATTAAGCCAAATACTGGACCGGACTGGTAATACTGACTTTTACCACTACTTGTTGCACGTGACTTAGCTGCTCCCGAGAGTAATATGAGAGCCCATGGGTGCAACGGCTTTCACAACTGCCCATTACTGCACTGGTTTAAGCTTTTACACTGGACAGAGCCGGCAAAACCAGAAACTGACCCAACCCTAGTGTGAAGAAGAAGAGGACTGGATGTATGATCAACTCAAGTCCTTATTTCTGAAAGTACAACTTGAAGTGTAGGTAGAGCAGCCATTCATCTCTGGAAAATAAATCTTACATCTGACATCCAGCAGTTAAACTAAGCTACTCTCAGCCTTCAACTTTCAAACTACACTGAAAAAGGATCTCCTATTCTATTTTTTTTTCCCTCAGTGTCCTTGTAAATGGCAGTGAATAGCTCTGTACCAACCCAGACTAAGAACCTGCTTTTGATCTGCCCTTCTCTTTCTGCACAGAACACTGATATCTTGAATACTGCAATGCTGACAGGGAAAATGGTGTCAGTCCCTGTGAAAACTCTGGCTGTGGAGGCTGATGGCTCAGTCACTGATGTGACCAACTTCACAAGCTGTAGGTCTACTGAGGAGGATGTACTCAAGGTAAGCCATTACAGCCACAACTCTACTCAACTTAGATTGAAATTCTTAATCATTTCCATGTTGCTTGTAGATGTATTGTGTGCACAATATGGAAAATGCATAAGAAATATTTAGGTAGATAGAGCATTTGTGATCAACCTTGGAATATACCTTATTTTTGCTATAGTGTATTTGCACTTACAGAATATGGTAAATGCATGAATCCTCTGTTTCATACAGCAGTAAATCAAGATTTTGTTTTCAAATTCCAACCAGAATTCCCAAACTATTTGTAAATGATAAATATGAAACAGTTTTTTATTTGAACATGTGGTAAATGAATTATATAAGGTGAAAAACAAACAAATTCTGTCCTTTTATGCCAGCTATCTAACTCTTCGATGAATCTTGCAGGTATTACATTGCTGTACAATGTAAACAATTATGTTTCTCTTTAGTGAATTGTGCATTAGTGCCACATAACATGTTAATCTAAAATAATGTGAAACTGAGCAGCTTGATCATTCCGTAGTCACTGTGAATGCACGCTTCACAGTATGCATAAATGATACATAATCAGTTAAATGTGTTTTAAAGAGATGGAAACATACAGTAACGTTTTTATATATATATATAAAAAACCTAAAAGCTTTTGTTTCTCTCATATTTAATTCCAGTGAGAAATATTATTCTGACCTAAAAGCAAGTTTGCTGAGTGTTTGACTGAGTAATTAAACTGGCTGTGGATACATTGAAGAATAAGACTCATTCTGGTGTCCAAGATATCCACGTCACTGCGCCATCCTACTCAACAGGTCCAGTTTGAGTGTGTGTGTGTATGTATGTGTGTGTGTGTGTCAGAGTGTCAAAGCATCGTGGATAAAAGCAGTCTCTTCCATATGGCATTAGAGACTGAGCTCATGATCCCACCACTCAGTCCATAAGCACAGCGATTTGACCTTTGTGTAATGGATCCATGTTACTGGGGCAGTAGGAGAGAGCAGAGAGAGAGAGAGAAAGAGGGAGACGGAGGAGAGGAAAAGGAATTATATTATTTTCCATTAGACGACACGGCAGCCATGGCTTTGTGAGGGTTTGGCAGTGTGTTTAAGTGTGTAAGCTCAAGAGAGTGCGAAAGAGCTAAAGAGAGGGAGACTGTGTTTGTAATAATTTTCTGTATCAGTAGAGGAACTTAATCTAGTTATTATTGTGTCTCTTAAAGCAATGCCACTGACCAGATGATGTTCAAGATTGAAACTGTAAACTTTACCTTTTATACAATAACTGCCACGAGGGTGAATCTCTATTAGGGACAGATTCACACATAGTACACAAACTCTTCGATTTAGCTGCAAGCTAACTTAAAGCCCCTACTTTTATTTTATGTTGATTCTGGCGTCCTCTGTGGACAAAAGTATTACCGTTTTCAACACCTCATATCAGTGATTTCAGGTGGAATCTGATTCAAGCCAATCTTCTTGCTGATCTTGTTTATGTAGGTCAAAGGTATCAGTATTAAACAGAGACTCGAAACGGCATACAGTCCGCCTTCTTCCCTCACTATTCACTCTTCCCGGGGGCTGCTTTGGGGGCCTCTGCACGTGCTTGGGGCCTCTGGTTGCGCGCCGTGGCTCACCCGACTCCGGTCGGCCCCCTCTCGTTTGGTCTATCCCCGCTCCGCGGACCCCCTTCCCGCACTCCTTTCTGCACCCACTCCACTTTCCTTCCCCCCCGGACTCCTGTTTGTACGTCCCCACCCGCGCGTTCTTGCCCACCCTGTGCCCCCCCCAGCGTCCCTGCTGCACCTCTCAGTTCCCGCCGTCCCGCTCTCGCTCTGCTCTGCCGACGCTCTTGTTTGGGCGGCCCCCCCCCCCCCCCCGCCGGCCCGCGCTTCCTCTTGCTTTATCCGCTGCCCTCCCCACCGTCCCCCCCCGCCGTTCCTCCGCCCCGTCTCTGTTTCCTCTGATCCTTTGCCCTCACAACCTTCACCCCAGCCTCCGGCCGCCGCTCTGCGGCTTGACTCCGCTTCCCGCCTGCTCACTCCTGCATCTGCCGCCGAGTGTTGCCCACCGGTCACTCAACCCACACTTTGTCCCGCACGGACCGGGCCGCACTCCCCCATCTCACCTCTCCACACACGTCGAGCGGCTTTCCACCTATCCCTTGCACACGCATCCACTCAGCCAGGTATTTGTGTCACTCCTGTCTGATGCCCACCTCTGCTCCCTCCCTGCGCTTCCCGCCTCGTGCACGTCTCTGCTGTTGCTGCCCCCCACCCCGGTACCCCGTCTTCCCGTTTCCCTCTTGCCTCTTCCTCTGTCCCGTGCCTTGCTTTCCGGCCGCACTCTCCCCTCGCTTCCCGCACGTTCCTCTCACCTGACCTCCCCGCCACACTTCTCTCCCACAACCCGCTAACTCACCTCTCTCTCGCTTCTTTCCGCCTCTCTTCGCGTCCACCCTTCACCAGCCTGCCCCCCCTCCCCCAGCCTGGCTTGCCGTGTCGTCTCCTTGGGCCCAACCCTTCCCCCTCTTTCCGCCCCATCACTCCTTTTCCTCTACTCACCGTCTCCCTCTTTCGATCTCTGCCTCGCTGCCTCTCACATACCACTCGCGTGCCCCCGTCCTCGGCTCCCCATTCCACCCCCCGGTCCCCTCGCTGTGCTCTCTGGACTGCGATGGTGGATCCCTGAGCTCCGTCTCTCATGCCATACCTGGGACACACAAGCGCCCTGCTTTTCATCACGCTGCTTTGCCCTCTATGCCCCCCCCTCCTCCCCCCCCCACTCCCCTGGCCTGTTGCGTCGGCTCGGCCGCCGTCGCCGTGGCCTCTCGTCTGGCCCGCGCTGGGCGTCTTCATTCTCTCCCACCTGTATCCCCGCCCGTTTCCTCCCTCCACGTCCCCCTCGCCCCTTGCTTCACTTCGGCTCGACCTCCACTCCTTTCTTCCCTGGCGAACTCTCTCCCTGGCGCCCACCCCCCGCTTTTGGTTTTTTCTCTCCCTCTCCCCCCCACCCACCGCCCCACCCACACAACACTCCCCCCACACGTCTCATACACCGCTCTCGTTTCCTCTCTTCCCCCCCTTTCCACAATTCCCCCCCTACCACGTACACAACACACCACCCCACACATTCTACTCAATGCACTCAACTCGCTGCACCCCGCGCTGGCATCTCCCGTCCGCCTCGGCCCTCCGTCCAACCACGCTGCTTCAAGCTTTCACCAAAATTCTTCCCCCCTCCACCGACACATTACCACTCGTTCACCTCCGCCCTCGGCACCACACTCCATCGCCACAACACAACCTCCCTCAACCGACCGAACACCCACCTCCATCTAGTCATCATCCTTCGATACCCCCACACGCACAATGAGATACCCCACTCCCCCCACTGAGACCCGCCCTCTACTCGCCACGACGTCTACACCCCAACTCCCCCGGCTCGGCTCACCCGCCCCGAAACATTTTCCTCTTGTTCTCTTCACTTCCTCACACCCACTCCCCCCCCCCTCAACATCACACCCTCTCATCCCAGCTTCCCTCACCCCCCCTGTTTCTCTTCTACTCATGTTCCCACCTCGTTTAGCGGAACACATACTGGTGCCTTTGACCACACCTCTCGATTTTCCCTGCCTCCTCTGCCACCGGCACACTACTCCCCACCAACTGCCCCACCCTACTACCATCACTCTCCGGCTCAAGGTGGGCCACTACCTCTCCGGTCCCCCCCCTAACGCGTCTATTCCCCGGTTGCTCCACCTGCTCTCTCCTCCCCCCCCCTTTCTTCTTGCACCCTCTTTCCCTCTTGTGCCCCCTCCCTCCTCAACGCCCGCCACATGCCATGATTACCACCTTCTCCCTCTCTCCACACCCCGAGCGGCGGACGGCACCGCCGCCGCGCCTCCCCCCCCCTTTTCACTCATCTTCTGTCCTGCTCCTGCTCGCCTGTATTCGTCCGCTCGCTCCTCCGGCCCCCTCCTTTCTCTCGCCGCTCACCGCCTCCGCCGCCTCCCCTCTCGTGCTCCCTCTCTCCCCGCCCCTCAACACCCATCATTCCATTCATCATCTACAATACACACCAGACCACAATACACCCACTCCTCATAAAATATATAGAATATATATACATATCACACAGCAGCTCCAACCACACACAAACCAAACACAACACACAACAAACCCCCACACCCCCACACCCACCACACACCACCACCCACCACTCACGCTTCTTGTTTTCCCTTCCCCCCCGCTTCCCGCACGCTACCTTTGTAACCTGATACATCCCACTGCCCCGTTTTTTATTTGCAGCCTGTGGTCCATCGCCTTCTCTAACGGCTGCCACAACCCCCCCCTTCTGTCTTTTCTGCAACGCTCTCTACCAGTCTTCGATGCTCCTTGCCGGTCTTCCCTTGCTGTCCTGTAACACCCCTTTGTTTCGTCTTTACGTGCCTTGTGCTCTCGTGCCGCCCTCCCCGTTGTCATCTCACCACTCCCTGTGCCACAACGCGCAAGCTTGATCCATTCCGTCGTCACCTGTGACATGACGCTTCCGCACCTCTGCCTCCCTGCATACACATCACGAATCCGTTCCTGTGTATTTCCCGCGCGTGGCCCCCTCCGTACGTTTTCTCATTCTCCCCCAGTCTCTCCAAACCCCTCCCCGCTTTTGTTCTCCTCACCTCTTTCCCCTTCCAGTGCGCACCTTTCCTTCTGCCCTACACAGCGTTTGCTCGGTGTATTGCTGAGTTTCCCTGCTGTGGCTCCCTTAGCCAGCCTCACAGAACCTGTTCTGTGTCCCGCTTCCCCGTCCCTAAAACCAGCGCCCTCCTCGACAAACCAAAACTCCCCACGTCCCGTTTGCGTGTGGTGTGTGTTCAGTCTGTGTCGTGGTAGTGTGGTCGAGTGCTCCCAGCATGCGATGGGATCACCCCACCGTCCTACTATCACTTCATGGCTTGAGACTGAGCCAAATCACTATAGCTCACACACCCCACTCAGATCCAACCTCAGCCCGCGCTTT